TTTGCGAACATGGGGGGATATAAACGCATAGTACCAAAGATATTTTGATTTTGTAGTCTGAAACCCATATTATGATGAAATTTAGGGGTGAACTTATAATTTTGGGACAGAGTGTATGTATGTTAGAGCTGTCCGAGACTCTTGGTCTTGGTCTTGGAACCAAGACTTTTCTTGGTTTTTTTTCGGTCTTGGTCTTGGTCTTGGTCTTGGGGTGTTTGTCTTGGTCTTGTCTTGGTTTTATTTTTTGGTCTTGGTTTTTTGGCCTTTTTGGATCTAGTGCTTGGCCATCCAAAATCCTCAAAATTTTCGCCTGCGGCGCAGAAAATGGAAGAAATCTGGCTTCTTGAGTCCCAAAATTCAAAAAATTTTCGCCTGCGGCGCTGAAAAAGTGAATTTTTGTGGCATACGGCCTTCCAAAATTCTCAAAATTTTTGCCTGCGGCGCAGGAAAAGGAAGATTTTTGGCTTCTCGGCCTTCATAATTCCCAAAATTTTCGCCTGCGGCGCTGGAAAATGAAGAATTCTGGCTTCTTGGCCTTCCAAAATTGTACAAATTTTGCATGCGCGCAAAAAGATAGGGATAAAATAGAGGATGGATATCAGCAGCTACCTCACCCAGACCCCCCAACTTCATACTATTCCTTTTGATCCCTCATAATCCACTTAAATTCCCCTTTAAACCTCGATATCCTCCTTAATCCAAGGGCGTAGCCAGGGGGTCGATTTCGAATGGGGGGGGGGCTAACGTTGGGTATCGCCAAAATTTTGGCTTTACCTTGGCGTTCCAGACGTAAAATCCCACGACATCCCTCATAATTCACTAAATCCCACGGCAATCCCTCTTAATCCTTTGATATCACTAAAATCCCGTTAATCCACCCAAATCCTCTGAAATAATAACCTATTTTATTGATTTTCCACACGAATAAATTCCCCGAAATTCTTTGAATTTCGCATAAATTTTTCGAAATTATAGATAATTGTGCTGAAGTTGACTGATCGTATCAAAATAACAAAAAATAAACCAAAAATTTGACCTATGGGATTTAAAAATTTGGTCTTGATTTTCGGTCTTGAGTCTTGGAGTTTTGGTCTTGGTCTTGTGTCTTGGTCTTGGAAAAAATTTTGTCTTGGGTCTTGAGTCTTGAGTCTTGGAAAAATTTTGGTCTCGGACAGCTCTAATGTATGTAGCTCCTTTTAGAAGGGTAACAAATGAAGTCGTATCTTTAATAAAGGATAATTCACCTAGCAGCATTTAAAACGCTTAGGCGGGGGTTAAACGATCTAAAAATGGAAATGAAGGGAAGCATTTAGAAAATAAGAAGCAGTTGTGCTAGCAAGGCCATGTTCGAATCCTGGAGCTAAACTTTTGCTAAACTCTTTCTGCAGAAATATATACCTATAAACTTAAATTATTAAATTAAACAGGGCAATTCTGTTCAATGGAAATAAAAATTTAATTGATGCGATAGCACTTTTACACAGGATTGGAATTATTTGTATATTTTTTATAAAAAAATATTAATTTCTTTTCAGTCTTTCCTCCTTTTTGGATTTATTTTGTTGGAAAACGTTCATTTTTTGTAGAAAGAGTAAATATTGGAATAGTTCCATTAATTTATTGTCTTCTTTTAATTTTTATCCCATTCTTTTTTGGAATTTTAATGTCAAAATTGGGATGTCAAAAATTATTATTACAAAAATATTCAAAATATTTAAAGGTTGAACAAAATAATTTTTAAATTTAAAATTTATTTTTTGTAGCCTTTTGCTTTAATTGGAACTTTAATTTTTATTTTATTAATTTTAATCACAACTTGGCAAAATTTTTTTCTTCTAAGTTGGGATTTATTGTTTTATATTGGATTTGTATTGCCCTTTACTTTTCATATATTTGCTTTGATTTTATCCAAAATATTTTGTTTGAAAGTATCATCGACAAAAACTATAGTTGTTGAATGTGGGATTCAGGCAAGGAATTATTTTATTTTTTAATTTGGAAATGACAAGAGGCATTATAAGCAGTTTTGCTTACTTAGATGGATAAATTATTTATTTTTGATAATGGATTTAGGAAGTGTTTAAGGGTTGAAACAAGGCAAACTCCAAAACACATTTTTTTCAACAGGTCAGGGTCAGGGCCTTGAATTTTGGTTAGAATCCGACCCTGTTCCAAACTCTCCTTGTGAAATTAAAAAAGGCTTTCTTCTAGTGATTTTGCTTACTTAATCCCTCTTAAAAAATTTTTTTAAATAATCTTCTTTTTTAAAGAGTTCAAGTGCTTCTTTATTTATTTTATTATTATCACTTGGAGAGCCAGAAAGAGATGTAGCATTAATAATTCCTTTAGCAACAGCTTTATTTACTGATAAACTTCTTTTATTTTTTTGTTTTATTAGAATTATTCGAAGAGCTATTTTAGCTTTAACAAAAAATAAGAATATGGTAAAAATATTAAGGATCTAATGTTTTTATAAAGTTTTTAAAGGTTATTGCATCTGAATTGACTACAATTAAATAAATGAATGATTAAAAGATTTGTATTAAAAATTAATTAATTATTGAGTGATTATTTGTAGTATTAATATTTTAAATAATTTTTGATTGTTTTATATTATAAACAAAACATATTTATTTTCCTAGGGTTGAGAATAGGGGCAAACACAAGAGAACTTTCAACACAAAATCAAAAGGAAATAATTTTTTTCTTTTTTATCACCTGATAAATGTTAAAAGATTTTACTTTTTATTAGTTACAAGTCCAGCAAATAACAAACTCGTGCCTCGCAAACTGATCTTTCCTTTTCAGCTCTGCAGGCAAAAATTTTGCCAAAAATTTAAGAAAATTTACACAAAAATAACAAATTGGACAAAAATGTACATTGTTTTTCTGAATAATTCCACTAATTGGAAATAAATTTTGAAGAATCTTTCGTTGAGTCTCTCATTTTTTAAAGTAAATTTATAAAAATTTTCTGTTAGAATTCTACGAAAATATACCCGAGCATTTACGTAAATTTAAATTTAAAGGCATTGTCTGACATGGGGGGCACTCACTTTTTCAGCATAAATTGAGAAAATAATTGTTAAACAATAATTGTTAAACACTACTACAACATTCTAAATTGTTTAACAAATTTTTTATTAAAAAAATTTTTATTATCTCAACTTTCAGTTCTTCCAGTCATATGATTTTTGGCTTTATCCTAAAGGAATGCCGCCATCCAATTTCTTCCATATTCTTTCAAAATTATTAATTTTTTTATATTTTTTGTCTTCAACTTAAAATAAAGGAACTCATAATTAATCAACTCCTTCCAGTTATCTAAAATGTCAAAGTTATCACCGGAAATAATTTTAAAATTTCCAATGCCGGAAATGATATCTTGCGCCCCCCCCCCTATGTCGACTGAATTTGAAAAATCGTTAAACGATCGTCAACACAGCTGGCAATTTATTCATTAAAGCAATTAATGTCTTGCCATTTAAATTCCCTTAAAACAAATTTTTTAATTAAAAAATTAAAAATTAAAAAAAATTATTTTAAATGTTAATTACTCCAATATTTTATTTTTTAATTATTTTTTGTCTTCAATTTAAATATATTAAAAATGCTAAAAACATTTTGATCGTTGCTCCAAATAGATATACTAGCCATTTTAACTTTCATAAAAGTATGGCACTTTCTTTATTTGCACAAGAATGGGTGACAAATGTTGTAAGTTTTCTTTCTAATTTTGGGTAATTTGTATTTTATTTCAAACTTTTATTCTGATCTATTGAATTTTTGATATAAAAATTAAAAAATTATTTTAAATTAATTTAAATTAAATTTAAAATTTTTAATTTAAATGTTTTTTTATTTAAATCCAATATTTAAAAAAATTATTAAATCCCAAAATTAAACAATTTAAGACACTTTTTGTTGTTGAAGAAAATCACAGAAATCGTGATCATAATTTGAGAGAAACCAATAAATTAAAGATTTTCTATTATCCAACAAATAATGTAGATCAACAAACGTCAAATATTCTTCAATTTTCTGACTTTGCTGCAGCGCATTGTTTATATAAATCGACACCTAATTTAAATTTAAAAATTTTAAAATCAATTCATGGAGATTTAAAAGAATATTTTAGTAAATTTTAATTAAAATTTTTGAAAAAATTATTTTTTTTTGGTTGAAGAGGGGAGAGAGAAGGGAAAGAGAAACATTTAAAATTAACTATTTTAATTTTAAATAATTTTTAAAAAAATAAATTAAAGAAATCGCTAATGACCAACATTTAATACAAGCACTTTGTCTTCGACAATATCAAGTTTGTATAAACGAATTACGTTACTATCCACTTTTCCCAACACTTCAATTAATTGAATGTAAACATATTGTGGCTACTTCAAATATGCCACTTGAATCTATTTATTATGATTATTTGGGATTACTTCCAGCTATTATTCATAATGAAATTCCTGGTGTGTTTTTAATTTAAATATTAATTGGTATAGAAAGAGCGAGGTAAAGCGGGCAGGCTTCGATCCTGCGACCTCCTGGCAGTTATTGCTAGGCGCTTTCGCTCACCACGTACAGGTGCTCTACCAACTGAGCTAACGGGACGCTGCTTTCATCTTCTCTTGTATCAGATCTTAAACCTCCTGCTAGTCACCGTTTTAAATGCTAGCCAGCTGGATCTTTCTCTCCCTTGCAGCATAAACTTACTCAAAAAATTTTAATTACCTCCTCCCATGAGAGGTTGAAATAATAATTCCATAAAGATTATTTTAATGATATGTATCTTCTCACAAAGTTAAAAAAATAATTTTTTAGTTGTATTGAAAGGAAAACCAAACAAACATGGAGAGTCCTCTTCTAGTAATAATCCACATGATGTTGCTGTATCACAAAGAAAAAAAGAAATTAAAATTTTTGTAATTTTTTAAATTAAATTAATTATTTATTTTTATATTTTTTAGGATAAATTTTTTAAACAAATTGGAGTAGATATGGGAATTGAAGAGAATTATTTTGAAAATATAATTATAAATATTATTAAATTTATTTTTGTTAACACACAATCTTTAATTGATTTTGAAGCAATGAGTAATATTTATCACGAAAAAATTATAAATATTGGAGGAATAGCTATTCCACAAAATAATAATCAAAGTTTAACCGGACAAGTTTAACCATAATTTATAATTAAAAAATATTTTTTTTAATTTTAAGGTAGCAAATATTTTTGATTTTGCATTCCAAAATAATAAACAAATAATTTTTGTTAGTTTTGGAACGATATTTGATACTCGATATTTTACAGACATACAAATACATAATTTAATTAAAAACTTTTCTCAATCTAATTATTTATTTATTTGGGCAATTGAGGATGATTATAAAATACATAGTATATTGGAGGAAAGTACCAATACATTTATATTTGATCGAGTAAATCAACCAGCTATTCTTGGTATTTATTTTTAATAAATTTTTAGAGACTGTTGATTAGGGTTGTTCCCCGACGGGGTGGGAGGGCCACGTGGAACAATTTCCGGGGAGGCAGCGCCACGGGGAGGGGGGGGGGGGAATTTTCAAAAAATCTCAAATTTTCGGGGATGGCCCCCCTACTGTTGATACACCTAAATAATTTTAAATTAAATATATTATTTTAAAAAATTATATTTTCATTTTTCCATGTAGCTCATCCCCTTACAATTCTTTTTATTTCTCACTGTGGAATAAATAGTTCAATAGAAGCCGTAAAATATGGAAAACCATTAATTTGTGTTCCTTTCATGGCTGATCAATTCTATAATTCAGAAGCTTTAGCCTCTCGTGGAGTTGCTAAAGTTGTGGACAGAGAAGAGAATTTTGAAAATATTTTTCAGAATATTTTGGATGCAATAACGTAATTTTATTTTAAATTTTTAAATCTTTTTTTTTAATATTGCCCTTCTATTAATTAACTTTTAAAATTTATTACCCCCCAAACTATTCAGTTTTTTATTTTTATGTAAAATTCTTTTAAATAAAAACTTTTAAAATAATTTCAGTTTACAAGGAAATATGAGTGTTTTACAAAATCAAATGAATAATAGTGATGTTAATCCTGTACGAACATTTTTAGGAAAAATTGCTGATTTAATCAATTGAATTTATTCAAAATTTTAAATTTAATTTTATTTTGTTAGAAGAACGAGAAGATTAATTATTTTTTGAAATTCAAATATTTAAATATTACATATTTTTAAATTAAATTATTCATTTATTTAAACAATTTCCTCTATTTTATTTAAAATATAAATTATTTTGATTTCTCCGTTGTGACAAATATTTAGACAAAAATAAATTCAAAAAAAATAAATTTAGAACATAAATTAATTATTTTATCAAATTAACTGATAAGACTAGTATTTTTATATTTTAATATACCTACATATGGCTAGGTGTATATTTAATTTATATTAAATTATTATAACTAAATTATTTATTATGACTTTAATTTTTTATGACTAAATTTAAAAAAAATAATTTTTAAACTAAATTTATTTTTAAATTTACTTTTTTATAAAATGAAATTAAAGTTTTAAAATGTCTATTAATTCTCATTCCCTTAATTCTCATCCATTTTTGACTTTACTTTTATCTAAATTTGGACATAATGAATTACCTGAAGGGGCAGCAGAGAAATGGGCTTTAAGTGAAAGGTTGGCTAATTGGCTGGATTGCCGCGATATTTTGAGCTATTTACGGGATGAATTTTATATTCCAAAGATGGGGACTTTACCTAATGGTTATTTAATTAATTTAAAAATAATTAAAAATTTAAACACCAAGGAAGTTATTTTAAAAACCAAGGAAGGTTATTCTAATAAATTAATTTACTACTCACCCAGAGTTTAGGCTGGGTACCCATATACATATATCCTATTATAAGTAGAAGCTCACTAAATGACAGCTTCCTTTTCCTTCGTTGTATTTTCATTTTTTAACATTTAGGTATATTTGTTTAAAAATATATTAAAAACAGGGTTGTCGTTTCCAAACCACTAAAATGGGGCGCAGCCACTCAAAAATGGGGAAAAAATAGGGCGAAATTGGTAAAAAATAAGGCAAAAAATAGGGCAATATTTTAAAAGCTTAAAATTTATTGAAATTTCAAATAAAAAGCCTTATTCCGCATGTTCTCCACTAGTTTTAACTAAATTTCTAAAAAACAGAAAAGTTCGGGTTAGAGACCAAACTAGGAATGTCGTACAGAGTCGTACGAGATATCTCGAAAAACTGAAATTTTTATCGTACGACAATTGCAAGAGATGTCTCTCTCGATATCGATAGTCAAGTTTTTCTTCAAGATTTTTGGAATCAATAGATTTCTTCTATTTTTAGCAAAATTTTGACAATTTTGCGAGGTTAAGAAGCCAGATTTCTTCCTTTATAGCGCCGAATGCGAAAATTTTGAGAAATTAATAAGACCAGTAGGAGAGATTTCTCTTTTTTTTCAACGCCGCAGGCGAAAATTTTGGGAATTTTTATGTCCAAAAGTTAGATTTCTTTGTTTTTTCGCATTTTATTTACAAAATGGCCGAAAATTTTAAATATATTACAAAATGTTAAAAATAGGGCAAAATATGGCAAATGTATAAAATAGGGAAAAAATAGGGCGAAAAGGCCAAAAATAGGGAAAATCCCCTATAAATAGGGTAAAACGACAACCCTGATTAAAAATATTAAAAATATTTTTTTATATTTATTTTTTAGTTAATCCATCAATTGTTAATACTGGGTTAGAAAAAGAATGTATATATTTATGTTCAAATTCTGTAGGTTTACAACCAAAATGTACAAAAAAATATATTAATAATGTATTAAAACAGTGGGAAGAAATGTGAGGATTTTTTTATTTTAAAAATTTTAATTTATTAGGGGAGTCGATGGACATTTTTATGGTTCAGAACCTTGGATTAACTGTGACGAGCGTCTTCTAAAAGGAATTGTTAAATTAGTAGGGGCTAAATTAAAAGAGGAAGTTGGTCTAATGAATTCGACTACTGTAAATATACATGTGGTAAGTAAATAATTTTAATTATAAAAATTATCTTTCTAAAGAGATGGAGGGGGGGGGATTGAATTTTGTGTTAATATTAAGTAGGAGAACAACCATATTTAAAGATTTTATAGAGAATAATCTGAAATTAAAAATAATAAATAATGAACCATATAGTATTGAAATTCTTATTATAAAATGAAATTTACCTTCCAACAAAGATTAAAATTTAGAAAAATTAAAGAGATTTTTTTGTAAAATATTATTTTTGTATTTCTAAGCTTTTTACTTCTTTTTATCATCCAACTCCAACAAAATACAAAATATTATTAGAAGATCATGCTTTCCCGTCTGATCATTATGCAATAGAATCACAATTAAAAATTAAAGGATTAGATCCATTAAAGGCAATGATTTGTTTGAAGCCGAGGGAGGTTATTCTAATTAAATAAATATTAATATTTATTTAAAATAAAGGGAGAGGATTGTCTTAGAACAGAAGATATTCTTGAAATAATTGAAAAAGAAGGGAATTCAATATCAATTTTATTTTTTAGTGCTGTTAGTTATTATACTGGACAATTATTAGATATTCAATTAATAACCGAAAAAGCTAAACAAAAAGAGTGTCTTGTTGGCTGGGATCTTTCCCATGCTGTAGCTAATGTGCCTCTTTATTTAAATAAATGGAATGTTGATTTTGCTTGTTGGAGTAATTATAAATATGCTTGTTCTAGTCCGGGGGGTGTTGCTGGAATTGTTTGTTTTTTTGGGGATTTTAAAATTAAAATATAATATTCAAAAAATATATTTAGCAAGAAAAATAAAAAAATGATATTTTGAAATTAAATTAAATTTTCCCTCAAATAACGTTACCTTATCAAAAAAAAACCATCTACTTATTTTAATATTTTTCATATCATTTCAACTTTTTTTTGTCATTTTATAGGGGGATTCATATTCGGGAATCTAATCTCTCATTCAGAAATGGAATCCTTTAAGATTGCATTCAAATATAATTTTTATTAAATTTAATATTATTAGTTTTAATTTAAAAGTTTATTCACGAACGTTACAAAAATGAAGGAATGTCACGTCAAAGACTTCTTGGATGGTGGGGTCATCGTTTAGATACTCGATTTGAAATGAATAATAAAATGGAACTTTCTGAAGGGGTTGCTGGCTATCGAATGTCTACACCCTCGGCTATTTTAATGGCTGGGGTTAAAGGATTTCTTGAGGCAAATATTTTTATTAAAATCTAAATTCAATTTAACTAGTGGCCGGTATCGGGAGGGAATCCCGCTACTAGTTTTGGCCAATCCCGATACCGAGGCCGGTATCGAGATTGGTATCATCATTCCAAAATACCAATATTGATTTTGTGTCGGGATCACGATACCGGCTAAATCTAAATTTAACTAACCCTTCGAAATAACGGTCCTTTTAAATGATCCCAGACTAATTCCTCCTAAAATGCCCTTCAATTTAATCAAAGTTTTCTTCAGTCCCTTTGAGTTCGTTATATCTAAATTCGATTTTAATTATTATTTTTTTATAATATTTAAAAGGTTTTCTCAAAAACTTCAATGGAACAATTAAATCAAAAATCAATTTTATTAACTTCTTACCTCGAATTTTTACTTGAAAATAATAAATTTAATCAACAAAAAGGCAATTTAATTAATTTTATTCAAATAACACCAAAAGATCACAACCAAAGAGGATGCCAATTATCTTTAAAATTTAATTGCCAAATTGATAAAATTCATAAAAAATTGTCAGAAAGAGGAATTGTGGTAAAAAATAAAATGAAAATTTATTTTTAAGATCTTTTTTTAATTTATTAAAAAAATAATTATTGAATTATTTATTTAAATAATTTTAAAAAATCATAAAATTTAAATAATCAAAAAAATATTTTTTTATTTTTTATGTTGATAAACGCAATCCAAATGTAATTCGAGTTTCCCCAGCACCTCTTTATAATACATTTATGGATGTTTGGTTATTTGTTCAGACACTCGATGAAGTTATTAATTTAACAGAAAATGAAATGATTTTGGAGGAAAAAGAAAAAAATAATAAAAATTAACGAACAAAAATATATATTTTGTATTTAATTTGATAAAATTAAAAATTTTATAATAAAACTATCTATTTATAAATGCCAAAATATATACATTTATTATCAGTCATCTTTGACATTATTTAATTTTAATTTGTTTTTAATGTTTACTTTTATCTGGCCCTTTATGGCAGTAAATAAATAAATTATAAAAACAATATAAGAATTAAAGATCTGAGGGTTCTAGAAAGTATGTAAAACTTTGGAACGGTTTAATTGATCATCTATTATCTTGTTTCCATCCATATTAAATTTCAGATGAATAATTAAAATTAAATTAAGTATGTACAATATTTACACAAAAATATTTTTTTAAATAAACTTTATTTTTATTTTTAATTCTAATTATTTATTGGTTACCATAGAGAAAATTATCAGACTAGACCGGTATCTTTTAATATGTACTTAATAATAATTTTAAAATTAGTAGTAAGTACTACATGCGAATTAATTAAATTGTTCCAAGTAGAGGAAGAAATGTTGAAGGAAGGAGACAAGCTAAAAAAGGAAGGAGAAAAAGCAACAAAATAATAAAGACGACGTACATTATTAAAAAAAATTCCTGCATGGCGCCCTAAACGTAAGACGTCATTTTTTCATTTTTTAAAAATCTAGCTAAAAATACCATGAGTGGCCAAGATTAACGTCAAAAATATTAATCAGTCTAGGTATATCCATATATCAGTATCTATACTTTCATTAATTAAAATTCAATTGTGCACAGCCAACCATACTTAATTTTATGGTCCTTCTTTTTATTTTTTTCTTTTATCCTTTCTAAACAATATCCCCCCCCCCCCCCATTCTGGCGAAGGAAAGGAAGAGAATATATTCTCTCATAACTTCATTGCCTTATTAGTTAGTGCGTGAGATGTCTGGCAATAAAAAATAGAAAAAAGCCGCGTGCCGCTTATTTGCCAACATAAAAGTATACGAGAGTAAATGAGAGAAAAAGAAATGTAGAAAAAAAGAATCGAATTCACCGGTTGATGAAAATAAGGGGTTATAAAGAAGCCAATAAGGTGTATATATCCCTTATTTATTCTCTTTTTTTGAAAAAAAAAACTAAGAAAAGAGAATAAACATTAAAATTAAAAAATATTCTTCAAATAAAAAATATTATTATTACATTATGAACATTTGCGCGGGCGGAGGATTGCCAAGGAAATGAGACTAATTGCCTTATCGATATACCTATGTTAAAAAAATATTTTTATTTGTTTTAAGTAATATATTATTTATTTAAACATATCAAAACAAAATATACAAAACAATATCCTCTCTTTTTTTCTAAATAATTCTTGGACAATAACTCCGATTTGGAATTAGCTAAAAGCTTTTTTTTGTAATTCAAAACAATCAAGAATCAAATTAATATACATACCGTATTTTCTCGATTAATTCCCCTGGGGAATTATTTTTTCAACCCATCCATGACATGGGGAATTATTCAAAGCAGGGGAATTAATCGAGTTTTGAAATTTGAACGTGTAGTAGGGTATTTGGGGGAGGGGAATTATTGTTTCAACGTATTTTTGGCAGGGGGAATTAATCGAGAGGGGGAATTATTCGAGGGAGGGGAATTAATCGAGAAAATACGGTATGTATGTATACCAAAAATTTATACAGATTTACATTCAAGGGTTTCTGGATTTTTTATTTCTGAAATATAGAGCAGTCCACTTTACTAGATGCCATAATTTAAAATCAAGTCCCTTCAAATTGACAAGTGTTTAGATAACACTTGCCAGATACTTTGATAATGCCAAAATCAACGATTTTTGACCTCAATATATTTGTTTACCCCAATTAATTTATTTTCTCTCCAAATAAAAGTTTTTTTTTCTTTTTTATTATTTAAATACATATCCCCCCCCTTTAGTTTTCCTTTGTCCATCCATCCATCTTTAATATAATTGGTGCCTAGTGGCATGCCACAATTTACTATTAAAAAATGTCAAGTAAAAAAGCAATTTATTTACTATTTATATATTATGCAGGTGTCAAAAAGTACTTTTTTTACTAAATAAAAGGCAAAAAAACTTTTATGGCAAAAAATATTAAAAAGTAAATCAATATTAAAATAAATATTAAATTTAGCTGTCTGAAAATACAAAAAAAGGTAAAGCCGTTCGAGCATATCTCCTCTCTTTCTCCCTCTTTTTTCTAAGCCCCCTTGTCTCTTTTTTTAATGGCAATATATCCCTTACATAAAAATGACGTTTAAAAACAGTAGATAATCTCTAAAAAAATTTTTTTAGTTTTTTTGTTTATATTTATATTTGCTTTATAAAGACGTAAAAGGTTGACAAAAAATATTTCTAAAAATATTATTAAATATATTTATTTATTGTCTTTAGGCATTTGTTTTAATTATTACTCAGTTTTTTGTGTTATAAAACAATAAATATTAAATATTTATTTTTAATAAATAAATTGTTTTATTTCAAAAAATTTACGAAAATATTTTTTCTATTTTTATTTTAAATTTTTTAGGCCTGTTTTTTGCCAATTTTTTGCCTGTAAAGGAAAGCCTCATATTTATTTTTAAATTAATTATTAATTTAAAATAAATATTATAAAAAATATTTTAATTATTAATTTATTTATTCCCCCCCTCCCCCTCCTCCTCTTCACTTTATTTTTAAAACCCGACAAGGCCCATCCATCCATCCTCTTTTTTATGCCGCTCACGCGCTTATTGCTACAACTACTAATTAGTATATCCTTCTCTCATTTATTACTAAAAATATTTTTTATTTTATTTTAAATTTTATAAAAAATATTTTTTAATTCGAATTATTTAATTAATATTAAAGTTAGTACAAAAAATGGGACTATGTATGAGGAAAACATCGAACATTAAGGGTTTGAGATATGTATTCACCTTCAATATTTTGATTTTTTATTTCCCTTCAATTTAATTTTGTCTAAATATTTTTATATTCTTAGCTATTTATAGGTAATTAATCTCTTAATAAAAAATATTATTTTATTTATTTAATCCAAAATTTATATTTAGATATTTTTATTTTTCATCCATAAAATAATTAAAATCACATTTCTATTTTTATTAATTAAATATCAAATATTCTCTTCCTTATTTCTTCCTTAATTATTTCAATTAAAAATTTTTTTACTTAAATAATAAAATACTTTTTTTGTCATTTCATTCATAATTTTTTTAATTTAATTTTTATTTAGTAAATAATTATTTCAATTAAATTAAAAATTAATTTACCTTAAATGCTCAAATAATGTCTTGTCTCTCGCTCAAATAATTGCCCCCTCCCTTTTAATTACCCTCTACAGCCAGAGATCGAAAAAATAATTACCCCTCTTAAAAATAGTTATAATTAGCCTTTTTTAAAAAAGTTCAAACAATTACTTTAATTTTTAATTAAATTAAAGTAATTTAATTAATTAATTTAATCGCAATTTTAATTAATCCCTCCAGCGAAAGGTTGAAACAATAATTACCTTGGGGTACCCTTGTCTTTTTTAAAGTCACACAATTTTATTTATCAATTTAATACTTTTAAAAGCTATTTGTTATTATCAGCTTAAACCTTCTTAATCCCTCTTTCCTTTTTTATAAAAATAAATAAACATAAAAACATCAAAAACACCTTCTAAAACATCAAAAATTACATCAAAAACTTTAATAAAAATTTATTAATTACGGTACATTAATTTGATTTTTTGTTGCCCCTAAATTTCTCACGATTTTAATTTGTTTTTAAATATTATATTTATTTTGTTAATTAATGTTAATATTTATTTTTTGTATAATATTTAATAAATAATAAATATTTTATTTATTTTTATAATTATTATTTAAATAAATAAACAAAAATAAATAAATACTACCTTTTAATTAAAAAATAAATAAATAATCAAAACTCAAAGATTAATATTTATATATTTATTTTTATTTTATTAATTATTATTTATAATATTTTTATTAATTTTAGAATACATAAATAATATTTATCTTTTTTCTAAATAAATTTCCGTCCTCTATTTAATTAAAAGAAAATGAATATAAATTAAATCAGCGATGAATGGTAATTTAAATTTAATTAAATTAATTAATTAAATATTTAAATATTTTTTAGACCAATTTAAATTAAAATTATTTTCAATTCCAATTAATTATTTAATATTTATTCACCAATTACTATTTATTTTTTTATTTCCATCATTTACTATTAATTTAACACCGCCAATTAATTTAAATAAAAATTGTTCTTTAAAAAATAATAATTCTTTTTTGGAATGTTTTTCTTTAAATGATTTAAATAATTATTTTAATTTAAATAAAAATAATTCTCAACAAATTAATCAATTAAAATTAAATTGTTTGGGAAGTAATCAAACATTTAATGACTTGGAATTAATTAAAAATATATCAGAAATTACAAAAATTAGGTAAAATTAATTGTTTAAATTAACGATTATTGAAAGGGAGTGGGATAAAATATTCTTTTTAGCCCTATTCTTAGAATATTTTGCTAGTCCCTACTGAGGTTGTCGGATCCGGATATCCGAATCAAAAAAAGACCAGATATCCGAAAATTTTGGTTCGGATACCGGATTCGGATATCCTAAGATTTCCAACTATCCGACAACCTTAGTCCCTACTCTTAATTCCAAATAATTAATTTTGTTTTTCGTTAATACCTAGAAGGATACCTTAATTTAATACCTAGATTTTCGTTAATACCTTTTTGATAAAGCTAGAATCTTTATGAGCTTTTCTAGCCTTTATTTTATGATTATTATCACCTATATCTTTTAGCTTTAAATTTCTACAATAAATTCAAAAATATTTCTAAACCTTCCCTATTTTTTAGTGATATATCTCTACAAAAATGCCCTCAAAATGTAATATTTCAATTTACAAATCTTCCAAAAATTGAAAAACTAAATCTCAGTGGAAATGAATTAAATGAATTTAATTGGCAAGAATTAAGTTCCTCTAAACTTTCTTTAATTGATCTACGTAATAATCCATTA